GCATGATGGATCACAAGAGTGTGAATCAGAGCACAGGCGGCTCCTGGAGGTTAATGACTTCTGACCTTGTTCCCAGCCTTATTTGTATCCGGTCCAGAGTCAGGTTCCCAGCCTTATTTGTATCCGGTCCACAGAGAGGAGATGACCTGAGATCAGGGTGACGTTCATGCCGTCCCAAATAGACACCTGGTCACATCTGCTCCAGGAAACGAACCAATCATAGCAACAGAGACAGAGACTTCACGTACAGTATGCACTCTATCTTTTATCTTTTTATTCCTCCTCCTTCCTTTGACCAATCTTACGTTATCTTATACATAAGGAAGTACAAAGGTTATAATATCCCCGGCGATGAATGTTGACAGCAAAACCCCAGTCACGAACTGTAGTAAGAACAGATCAAAGTGTCAAGAACTGAAGTGACATGCACTGTATATATTTACAAGGAGAAGAAAAGGAGATCCATATGGTCCAGAGACGGACAGATGGAGGAAACGAAACATTTCAAAAACAATAAAGGGAGTGAATAAAAAAAGAAAACCCTGCAATATCTGACAACTTTGGCCTGGAGTTAAGGTTTTAGGAAACTTGCACAGGAAGGAACTGTGAGTTGTCAGACCTTAAAAAAGAAACCAGCTCTGCCGAACAGACACCTTCAAGAACAGACTGCAGTCTGCTAAAGACGACATCACAAATATGACGAAAATAGAAAATGTGTTTTCTCTGATGAGGAAATCTGAGTCTGATTGGTCGTCGAGAGGTTGCCTTTGGTCAGACAAGTAAGGGAACCCAAAGAACACATTCCCTAAAAATAAGTCGAATTCTGATGATGATGACGATTATTATTATTAGTAGTAGTAGTGATAGTATAACAAGACATGATTAATATCAATCTCAAAGGTGCAAAAGCTGTCCTAAAACGTGCATATGTTCCATGTGTGTAGTTTTCGGATTAAAAAATAGGAACCTGTGCTGAAATGTTTGGAACTCCTTGTTGACCAGGACGTGTTTCTCTGCCTCTTGGAGCAGGTGGTTGTAGCACAGACTTAGTTAAACGGTGACACTGAGCCGCTCTGATGCTCTTCTCTGGGACCCAGTCCTGACTCCTGTGACCCGGGCAGCATCCAAAGGTCCAGTGTAGGAACAAGCTGCCAGTGACATCCCAGGTACCAGAGAGACCTCTGGGACATCTCCCTTCTGTGCTGAGAGCACACCGTTTTCCCTGCTCTGAAACATCTGAGGCGCTCGTCTTTCAGCCTGGAGGTGATGGTGCAGTCAGTGAGGATGAAGGTTGTGATAAAGCTCTGGGAGCAGCGTTTGTCTGAAGACTCAGGTCAGGAGGCTTCTGTCTCTGCTCCCACTCTGTGAGTGCAGCAACATGACATCCATCAGTGTTGCTCTGTTTAAGGCTCCGAAAACAACAACAACACTGAAGAGAGAGAGAGAGAGTGTGTGTGTGAGTGTGTGTGTGTGTTGTCAGCATTGTTCTTCTGCCTGCAGGTTATAGAAACTTTGAGTCAAAGTTGCTTTGCTGTTTCATGTAGTTTTGAAGTATTAAAACAGTTCTTCGAGGTACTCTCACCTCTAACCCACTCACAGTGGTCATACAACCTTTACATGACTTTGTTTTTTTCTACTTTTCTGTGTCTAATGCAGTTTTACCAGATAAAAAACCAGATGGAACGTTTGTTTGACATCATTTATCAAGTCCTAGTTGTGTTCAAGGACCTTTCATGACAGTGCTGGCAGTGAAAACTGTATTTTTTTTTTTTATAGTTTCTCAGTATTTTTAATGGTTATTGGTTTTCAACTGGGGTTCATGACCCCCAGGGTGCCTCTAGAAGTCCTGCAGAGTTGTGCATTTTATGGATAATTAGACCATTTTTCTGCAGATGCTTTAAAAAAAACTATGCATAGATTGAATAGTGTACTGATGTCGGCTTAAATACCAGCTCTGAATATGTTTACCACAATGTTACAAATGATAAATGTAGTTGAAACATTCAATGATAATCTGAAGTCATCACATGAGTAGCAGTTGCCCCACTGGGTATTTTACGTTGTTTAATGCTTCTTGGAAAATTGACTGTGGACCAGGTTTTATCATGCAGTTGCGACCACTTCCACTTATGCTATTAAAATAATAAGATAAACAAAGGACCAAATGCTGCTGAGCGCTGCTCTGCTGTAGACTCTGTGTTTGTCATTTCTGATGTGCAGATGTATAACCAGAGCAGAGATATTTTTACTCTGTGTCTTTAGGCTTTGCCCTCTAAGCTGTTTTGTACATGCATGCTTTATGTATGCATGTAAAAACCAGACTGGAGCATGTGAGCATTTGCAGTATAGGTTGATAAAAAAAATGTATGTATGCACACAAAAAATCCACACATTTCTCAGTCTAACAAACCACAGTGTATAGGTGCATTGAGTACTCGATGAGTAACATAGAGTTCACGGAAAAGTCAAGTGCATGCTGTAGATACAGAAGTTTTCCATCACAATCTTTTCAAAAACACTACAGATATGACCTCATCTTCGACGCCCATGTTGTTGTTTATTACGGTTCGACTTTGTTCGCCTGAAACACTCAAACCAAAAACACTTCAAGTGGAAGAAGTTTGAGCGGCCAGCTGTCTGAAATTTAGCTTATGCTTCCTGTAAAACTGAAGTACTGCCACCTACAGGATTTTTCACTGCAATGTCGACTGAAAAGATTGCCCCAAGAACTTCCTAAAAATAAGTCATAAAAGATTGAGGGCAGCGTCCCTGCAGATTGCTCAGCGCCGCAAAAACGACAGAGGTGATTACTTCCGTCTTATTTTAAGGGATTATTGCCTCTAATCTGCCATTAATCCATGGGTATAGAGATGAAACATCCAAGTGTCAGACTGTCGGTGGGTGTGTAATCTAACATATATGTACGTTCATTTGTCAAACAGCTACAATCCCCGTGGAGAGCGTTCCTAAAACCGCAGCACCTGATTACTCAACTGGCAGAAAAGCATCCTCTCAGAGCAATCTCATTTGTGGCTCTGAAGCCGCTGTGGTGCACTGTGATACCTTGGTTAGGTAACACACCGGTGCTGGCAGCCCTACCGGAGGTGACACCCCATCAGGCCTATAAATAGTTTTGCACTTTTCCCCCAGGAGCCCAGCTGTAGCTTTCTCACAAGCATTTGATCTCTAGTTTGTGGAGAACTGACATCACCCACTGCTGCTTCGTCTCCCCGACGTTCTGACTCCCTGCTCACAAACACAGAGTGTAAACCACACACACTAGGAGACACACACCGGCGCCCTTACTGCTGCTGCTGCTTCATTATATTATAGCGAGAAGAGCACATGAGTAAGAAAGAAAAAAAACTTTGAGCAGCTGTGATGGTGTTGCCTTTTAAGAGAGAGTCGCTTCAAAGATCCTTTGCCTCAGGGTTTCCCTCAACTGCGTTTAATGATCACTCACCTATTCACTTTAAACACTGCGGAGCTACGATGGTAGACGGCAGGCGGCGAGCTGGGAGTGAAGTCAATTCTCCGACACTCTTGAATAAATAAAACTGAGCACTTAATTGGAGAAGCTGGGGATACAGTAACAAGACCAGCACAAGCCTCAACACGTGAGCAGAGGCAACGGATAAAAATGAAAAAAAAAAAAAAAAATCAAAGGAACTGTGCAGGCTGTGTCAGACCTGAGTGAGTCATTGTCTACATGTGTCTCCAGAAGAGGCAGGATTGAGAAACAGGCACTTCCATTCTGTCTACTATATTCTGAGTTGATGACGTTACTAAGCCTTGTACTACGTTGGTACCAGATGTCTTAGGAAATACCCTACAGTAAAGTAGTTCAGAGTACTGTGTTGTTTTCCACTGTGCAGTTGTGTTTTTATTTTACACCTAGGCCTTGGGGAAGTGAAACGACACAAAATAAACAGAAGGAAGGAGGAAACCAAAGGTGATGTTGGGCTGTTACTGCTTAGATTTTGGAAATGAATACATCGTAAATCACAAAGCTGTGTCCAAAGTTTCAGATGCATTAGTTTCTACTAATGTAAAAATATCTTCTTCATTTAACCCTTTAATGTAACAGGAGCAGTGAGCGTCACTGTGCCAAACCCATGGAGAGGAAACATTTTTGGGGATAGCTTAGCGCACCTCACTTCAGGTCAGAACTCGAACCAGCAACCATTATACCATCAACTTTATGTCTCGAGGTCGTTATAGATCATTCTCAGGGCAATGTCATTGTTTCTCCGTCTGACTTATTTTGCTCATTATTTTTTGACTACCTACTTGACTAACTTCAAGCTACTGAGCTAACTTTTTGATACCTTTGTTGTTAGCCATTAGTGCTTACAGTTGCCTGTTTATGCCATATAGCTTTTTTATTTTTATCTTCATGATCCTAAAGCTTTAAGCATCTGTTTATTAGCTGTTATTTTTTATAATTTTTGTAGCTTTAAGCTGTTGTATATATTCTTTTGCTTAGTATTATATACAATAATTATAGTATTAGCTGACTTTCTTTTTGGCTACTGGGCTTAAAGCGTGTTCATTGGTCACTGTTTTTACCACTGCTTTAAATTGGCTCTGCAATTATATGATATGTTTTTAACCTAATTGACATATTTAGCCGGAATTTTTAGCTGTATCAGGGTCTTATAAGAACTGTCTGTGTCCGGAGATGTTAGTGGAGGGCAAAACAGCACACTCAGAAATGGACTCAAAACTTTGTTTAGAGTCTAAAGCTCCTAATGTGCAGCTGCAGCCTGACCATCCACTATATTTAGATTCAACGACATAGTGCAGAAGCGACTGGAACCATTCAGTTTTTGCTGACTTATATTCTCATGTAATCACAGGAAGTGCAGTGTATCAGGATGTTCTTATTCATTCTGGAATCAGAGATGGCGTACCTCAGGAACACAACCTCCAGAAGCTTAATCTGACTCACCCATAAATGACCAGTTCTGAACTAAAAAGATAATAAGAATATTTAATTTCTTTGTACCTAACAAAAATAGAAACATTCTCAGGCTGAAACTATTAATATACTTATTTTGGTAGGGAGAATTGGGCCCAGTACAGGCAGGTGTCAGAATTAGACCTCACAAACAACCATTCACATTCCCACTGATAGTTAACTTAGCCTTCACTCATGACCTAATCCTGTATGTTTCTGGAGACTAGAGAACCTGAGTTATAGGGACAAAAGACACTCAGGTTCTACTGGGCTTCAAACTGATGACGTTTTTGCTGTAAGGCAAACGGATAAACCACCTGATGTAAACTATAAATACTCAACTTTAGGATTAAATCGCATCATCAGACACTGGAACACCGGGAAAAAAACAAACCATTTCACCTTCTGAGGTATTTTAATGTATTATATTTTCTGACCACCGATCCATGTAGAGTTATGGAAAGGTCAGCCTTCCCACTTCCACCCCCACAGGTGCTGCTGTGTATTTTTTCGGATACCAGACACAAATTATAATAACACTACACAGCGCAGCTACAGTACTCAGTGGTCAATGAATAATTCATTTTCAGGAAAGGGATCTGTTTGCCCCTGTGCCCCTCTGGTGCGCCTGTGCACCTGGTGCCATTTGGCTACACGGCAGCAGACGCGTCTCCAATTATCCGGCATCACATCCCTTGCTTTCGGTGCGCCCTTTTGCCTCCACGTCTACATTGATTGGAGTAAAGCCGGATCGATGCGGGCGACACGAGAAACTCGGGAGTGAATAACTTACTCACAGTGATTGATTTGAGTGCGCGCGCGCAGAAAAAAACAAACAAAACATCAGAAAAGAGGAGAAACAAATGTGAGGGAGGGCGCGGTGAAACTTTGCTTGTTTTTAGTTGTTTTTATTTTTTGAAAAGGTGCATTTCAATTAGACTGTTAATGTGATAACAGCCAGTAAAGAGGATTCATTGGAACAGGTACGTTTCCTGTCCCTCTCAGTGCCTCTGTAGCTGCGTGCTGAGTGGACTGTTGTGTAAACGGCCGCAGCTGCTGAAACGCGCACCACGCACGACCCACTCCCACTTGGCCAAGGCTGGCTCCAGCTGCGCCTGACGTGTGTTTGATGGAGAAGGACGGTGCTGCAGGTTTGAGCGGTGGAGGCTGGGTTCAGCACTCTGGACAGCGCCTGGCTGAAGTTGGAGAGGATTTCTTTGGAAGAGGTTTTTCCTGTTATGAAAGTAGGGATGAGAGATGCGCCACGGGTGACCATGGTCGGACTGAGGCGTTCTTTGTCCACTGGTAACCCTGGTGCGCACTCTCTGGAGTGAGACATGGACTTTGCTGAAATCATCTGCGCTTTCTTCATCGTCGTGGTCGCCGTCGTCTCGCTCTTGTCCAACTTGTTGGTGCTGCTATGTTTCGTCCACAGCACCGAGATCCGCCGGCAGGTGCCCGGTGTGTTCACCATGAACTTGTCCTGCTGCAACATCCTCATCACTGTCCTCAACATGCCCGCAACTCTGGTCGGGATCGTCCGGAACCAGCAGCCGTTCGGGGACTGCATCTGCCACACGGTGAGCTTTCTGGAGACTTTCCTGACCGCCAACACGATGCTGAGCATGGCAGCGCTCAGCATCGACCGCTGGATAGCCGTGGTCTTTCCGCTCAGTTACTCCACTAAGATGCGCTACAAGGACGCGCTGATCATGGTCTGCTACTCCTGGCTCCACTCCTTCACCTTCTCCCTGGCCGCGCTACTCTTTTCCTGGATGGACTACAGCCACGTCTACGCCTCCTGCACCTTGCAGCCGAGCCAGGAGGGCAGCGACAGGATCAAGTTCTCGGTCTTCACCGTAGTTTTCCACGCCACCAGTTTTGTGCTTTCTCTGCTCATCCTGTGTTTCACCTACCTGAAGGTGCTGAAAGTGGCCAGGTTTCACTGCAAGAGGATTGACATCATCACCATGCAGACTCTTTTCCTTTTGGTCGATATTCACCCCAGGTATTATCACCACACATACAGTATATATACACTGACATCTACTCACCTCTCCCGAGATAGGTAATATGATGCCATGAAATGTCATGTTCAGAATCCCTGCTCGAAGAACATATCAAGTAATATCAGAGTTGAGCATTCTGTATGTCTTCACATGGTTCATCAGGTACAGGTTAGTATTGGTTTCTGTTGGACTTTTGACCCTTTTGCCCACAGAACCACTTCAGTTATTCGTAACATAAATCTGAGGAGATGCTGGTAACACTGGTTTGACACGATAGCCTCACGCAGCTGCTGATGAAAAGCTAAAGGTTCCAGCACCTTCCTGAAATGATTTTAGTTTGCTCTGGATGATTTTGGAAGAAATTGTGGTACAATAAATTCAATGAGATTATTTCAAACATCATGTCCAAGCATGTTGTTGCTGGAAGAAGCCACTGGAAGATGGTTATAAAGGGATGAACATGGTTAGCATCGGTATTAAATTATGAAAGGCTTAACTGATAATAAAGAGTCCAGTGTTTGACAAGGAAATAGGTCCCCACAAAAACAGGACGACATGGTCCAAGCACTATCTCACCTGACACTTGTACCTGTTATTGACCACATTTAATGTGAAGCATACGTTTTGACTCATTCATTTGTTGACATTACTGTATCCTTTGGCTGGTCCCTGGTACTGTGGTGAAATTGTCACAGTACAGATGGACGTGACCGGTGTAGTGGTGACTGTGAGCCTCTGCTGTTGTTTTCAGTGTTAAACAGAGATGCTTAGCCGAGCAAAAAAGGAGGAAACAACGAGCTACAAAGAAGATCAGCATCTTCATTGGCTCATTCATCATCTGCTTCGCCCCTTATGTAATTACAAGGTAAGTCCAGGTGAAAGCAAACAGTGCATTGCATTTAATGTACTGCAAAACTCCATAAATAAATGACCTTAACACAGCTAGAGAAATGTAACCTTGTAAGTAAACAGATTAAAACAGGTGTCATTGGAATATAATGAGTAAATCAATTCATTATTCCTCCAGAATCGTTAGTGCTGCTGGGTTTGGACACTAGAGACTGATCTGTCGCCACATTAGATTGGATTAGTTACAATCCAACACCTGAAGTACACACTCACTTGTCGGGCTATTTTCATCCCCAGATACACAGAATTATTATTTCTGTGAACCAGGAGGAACCTCATTAGTCCCTGGTGTTTGTGTCGTAAACAGAAGTCATGCTGCTTTTGCCGAAACACAACTGAAACACAGTAGGAACCCAGATATGAACGTTGCCGCCACAGAATAGAAGAGCTCACGTTCGTCAGGCAGATGTGTAGCTGCTAATCCACCAGCATGTGTGTGTGGATTACAGCTACGGGAGGAGAGAGGCAGCGTACGCTCACAGTGAAATGATGTGTGGGTAATTGGAGCATCCTCTTGATCAAGCGTACACATGCGAAGTAGCCTTAGTCACGCTTCCACACCCGCCGTATAATTATATTAGATTATACTGTGATATTTCCTGCCGTACATGCTGCTTCTTAATCAACGTTTAAACAATTAATCGTCTTCTCTTTCAAGGCCTTTAGTGCCCTTAGATTTTCAATGACAAACCTGAAGAGAAGTATTAGACTGCAGGTGAGAGGAAAGTCCAGCACGGACTTTGATAAATTATTATTGCAACAAATATAAAAAAAAAACATCTTTTGAAAGAGACATGATTTAAGATTCTAAAAATATCCACGGACCAACTGCTCCTTCTGCGATACTTAAGAGTGTAATTAAGTTCCACACAAATGCTCTGCATATAATCAGGTTTACTCAGTGGATAACAAATGCTCTTATTTGTTTGGTATTACAATCAAATCAAAGTCAGAGAATCTTAGACAGTTATTTCAGACACGCATATGAATGAAAAAATGTCAGACACCTCAAGAAATGGTTGGAATTCCTTCAACTTCTAATACAGCAGGATGTTTGATTACTGTTAACCACAAGATATTCAAGTTCAAGGTAAAATAAAAAAAACTAAATTATTACTGAAGGAAACAGTTGGGACAAATATATGTTGGAAAAAACCCAATAAGCTAACTAAAAGCTAAATGGTAACAAAAAACAGAATAGAAATTAAAATAATTATGTAAACATGGCTGAGTGATGCACAAAGCTAAAATGAAACCCAGATACAGCAGGGAAAAGAACAAGTTGTATAATTATTATATATGTAACTATGTCCTTATACTATGTCCATATGTCAAAGTATATACATATATATGAACACATATATATGTATATATACAGTATATAACGCTAACACTATAACTCTAATAGTCTCTAATGGTAAGTCACTAGGTGTGAAATGACATCATTATAACGAAACAGAAAAAACAAAAAAGGAACCAAAATTATTTAATAAACCAATTGACTGATTATGGTAAAAATGGTAAATTCTTTCATGTGATTGATAATATATCAGGCCTTTACCATAAAAAAATGAGTAAAGCATGTGAATTTATTGAGCAGTGTTTTCTTCCTGACATCTGTCAAAGTGCACATTAGAAAATGTGGCTGTGAGAAAATTATGACTTGTTTTTTTTTTAATAAAATATTTAAGCTTCCTGTTGAGCCAGGCACAGATGAGGGCTTTGAGGAAAGCACAGCCAAACGCAGAGATCTTGGCTGAAAAATAGGAAATTCTCCCCACTCCATTTTTCAGTGAAAAGAAAAAAAAAAAAACACGAATTGTTCTTCTTTAAAAAAAAAAAACTGTTTTATTTTTCATGAAGTTTCTGATGTGTCAGAGCTTTGGGCTTGGGTTCTTCTGCTGTGGTTAGTCATACATTTGTGCTGCCTCCCCTTCAGGTTGGCTGAGCTTCTGCCTTTCGTGGACATCAACCGCCACTGGGGAATCATCAGTAAGTGCCTGACTTACAGCAAGGCTGCGTCTGACCCCTTCGCCTACTCCCTCCTACGTCAGCAGTACAAGAAAGTCCTGGTTACAGTTGTCAACAGGCTGCTCCGCCGTGACCTGTACCCTTCGTCTGGCCATAACAGCTCCTTAGACACGGAGAACGACTACTGTCTCCAGAGGATTAGCTAATGGCAGAACCTGGGGACATGACAGATGCACGCTCCAGTGTCCGGAAAGAGAAAAAAGAAATCGCCTCTGAGAAGGAGAAGATGGGCGGAGGCAGAGATTTAGGAGAGAGACAGATTGGACAGGATATTACAAGGAAGGCAGAGGAGACTTAGATGGAGAGGACAGATTGTGGGTTGAGGGGCAGAGCAAAAAATAACAAAGATAGTGGGCGGACAAGAATGAAGAGACAGTCATGAGGGGGAGGCGAAAAACGCAAGGAAACGGAGGAGAAAATGAGAAGGTTGAAGGGAGGATAGATAGGCAGCGACAGGGATGAAGTGCAGACGTCGTCCTCAGAGACTGTTGGTAAACATAGGGTCTCTCAATCAACCGCAAAGCAGGGGCACACACACACACACACACACACACACACACACAAGGGGACAAATACACTTTGTCATTTCAGATTTTACAGAAGGACCAAGTGGTTGGTGGATCTTAGGGACCTGTACAAGGTGGCCTTTTGTTTCTGACCCACTGCTTCATAGGACATGAAAGGAGGAAGGTTCCTGTCTGTGGAAAACTAACTGACTTTGGAGTAGATGGACCAAAACCTGCTCCACATTTTAGCCATGTCTTGTAGTGGGCGCTTTAAATACTTCACAGTGTCACGTCAATCACTGGATATTGATGCACTTTGTCCAAATCTCTCAGAGCTACTGTCATTAGAGGAGCCAAAGGCAAATGACATGAACACCCGTCTAAAGGACAGCACTGGTGATTCGTTTTTCCACCGTCAACAACAGAGTTGTGCTTAAAACGTTCACAGTCTATTCCAATGGGCCGGGTCACATCTTAGGCTTCACACAGTAAGAGTAAAAGTACACTACATGTTTGTACTCATATCTAATAGGACACAGGGACTTATACTAACTGACTAAACACGGTAGAACTGAAAAGGATGTGAAGACGGTTAGAGTGATAAAGGACAGAGGAGGTAGGACTTTTTGTCAGGGTAATTAAGGAGAACAATAAGTGAGAAAATAGAAAATAGTTTGAACCTATTTTTAAATTCATATATAGTCTTTAATAAAGGTAAGACGTCTGCTTTTTAATACACGATTCTAGCTACCTTTACTTATTGTTTTGGGCATTTTTCTCCAAGATTAAGTAAATTTACTTGTTTATCTTCACTCTGCAAACCTGTGCTTTACTGATGTTGAAGCTAACTAAAGGCTAACTTCTTAGGTTAATGTTGAGTAATATTCTTGCTCATTCAAGGCTAAAGCTCACCAATCTTTAATTATCTTTCTCCAATTATTTTAGCCATTTTAAAAGAAGTTTGCTTTTTCAACGTTAGGTTGTACCTTTGCTGACTTTTTTGCAAACATATATATATTGTTTGGTCTTTATTCTTAGGTTATGTTTAAGCTAACATTTGAACTAACAATATTTTTTTCTTTTGTATTTTCCTTCATTTATACATTTTATCAAACTTAAGTTATTTCTTCTACATTTTGCCAAGTTTTTTTTATGGAGCTGAATTTGACATTTTGACATTTGACTTTAAGCAATATTTTTTAACTCCTTCCAACTTGTAGACTCGGGAAAACCATATATGTACATACATACGTATATACATAAATACATATATACATATATGAATCTGTAAAATGAATAATTTGGTAATTATACCGTACTTTAGTGCTTATTGAAAAAGATTAGGAGTAAGCAAATGCTGTTTAATGTATCTCTCTTAAAATATACTATTTACCCCTGACAACATGTACTATTTATAAATTATCCCTGGGATTGTGAGCTCCCTTTTGGTCTTTTTATGGGTTTTTGCTGACAGTGAGAAGAACAGACATCACCAGACGTCCTTTAAAGTGTGCGTCTAAGTGTAAGTGAATGTACTTTCAGAGTGAGTCCGCTTTTAACACATTTTTACAGCTGTGTTTTGCCCTGACGGGAATAGAAAACATGTTTCTTATTGATATTTATTGACATGATGTTAATATACACAGTATATTTTGCACTTTACAGGAAAATAATTTTGTTTAGCTAAAGAGGTAGAAACGTGATGTAGCATAGAGACGCTCTCAAAGTGCTTTAAAACACACTGTTTTGTGTTTGTGCCAGATCTTGTGTGGCTTTTTTCCAGCTGTTCTCTACTTCTCTGACCAGAATAGCTGCTAATTCTACAACAAAGGTTTTCAGATGTATTTAATTCACGCGCAGTTTTCCTCCTGTGAGCCATTTGCTGTTCTCGTGTGATTAACTGTTAGTGGAATACATGTAATAAATACAGTAATGTTGTTTTGAACCTAGATTTAAATGATGTGAGTTTATGTCAAAGTACCGTTTGTTTTAATATGATTAGCTCAGGATATTCAAATATGGGTGTTGTTTAATATTCACTGGTAAAGAAAAAGATCATTAATCTACTAAATCTTCTAAAATTAAAAACTAAAATCTGTGGTGTGGTTGTTGATGTAAAATTGATTTTAACAGGCAGAAAGGCAAAGAAGGATTTCAGCTTGACAAATTAAGTGTAAGACGCATTAAAAGTTATACATTTTATTGCAAATAAAATAATACAAGCCCGAGTTAAGAAAGCACGCAATTTTACTGCACTGGCAACAATCATTTCCATCACATAGTTCTATATTCCTCTGCCTTTATCTTGCCATAATTATATTGTGGTTTAAAAATGGCCCCAGTGTTTTGTCTGAGGAACGCTCTCTGCTGCAGCAGTATTACAATCATTATTTATAATTAGGTGTAATTAAATAGGTGGGTTGAAGATCATCTTTAAAGATTGATGATTCCAATTTATTCTGACTTTATTTTTAACGTAATATGTGGAAACAGATTTACGGGAATTATTTGCTGCTTTAAGTGAAGAATTCTCCCCTTTTAGTGGCTACTACATATAACAAACTTAAAAAACAAACTTGCAGTCAGAGGAAGTTCAGGTAGTTCTAATGAGGCTGTGGTCACAGTACAT